TCATTTTCTCCTATTAATTCCACAGGAGCCTGTGTTTCTGTTGGACAAAACACAGCAGCAACACTCACCATGTTTTTGATCATGCCTCCAAGACACTCAGAAAGAGGACTTAAAGAAGTGTTTCAGAAAGTGGCAAGAGCAACAGGGTAGGTGCATTCAAAGTGAGGCAGTGTTTGGAGGAAGATTAAAGTTTTGAGGAAGATTAAAGGCAATGTGTCATGTCTTTTATTGTGATTTTTTTTGGGGGGTTGGATATAGAGCCTTGCTACGTATTCCAAGCTGGCCTTGAACTCATGGCAACCCTCCTGCCTCATCCTCCCTAGGGTTGGGATTACATGCATTTGTCACCTTGTCCTTATTGTGAATTTGTTTGTTTGTTTTTGAGACAGGTTTTCCCAGGATTACAGGTATGTACGACCACATCCAGCTTGACTTACATCCTTTAACACCCACTGCTGCCAACACTGAATTGTCATTCCCAATGACCAGATACTAAGTCTCAGGCGCCCATCCAGGTCGTGGGGTTAGCAGCTCAGGACCTGGAGCTCCTGGGCTGTCCATCATACTCATCCCCAGCATCCAAATGGGATGGCTGCCATTAACGTTCAAAGGTCCCTGCAGATTCCGCTGAGCTGATGGGGTCGGGAGGTGTTGTGATGGGGTGGAAAGCACAGAAACGGGAGGGGAAACTTGAAGGGGACACGGAGATTCATTTTGGCTCAGCAGTGTTTAAGGTACATTGGTATCTGGGGGGCCAGTCCAGGAGGCTGCTGCGTGCTCAGGAGAGAGGCTGCCCTGGGGAGAGGAAGGCAGCTCCACTCTGGAGAGCACTGACAAGTGCGGGCTGAGAGGTGGCCCTGGACATGCCCTGGGGATCCCCCTTATTGGTGGCGTGCAGGAGAGAAATAAGCCCAGGGAGGCAACTGGGAAGGAATGCCGGGGAGGAAAAGGAAGACAAGCACCATGATGGGACAGGTGAGTCACAGAAGGAAGAAGCCTGGAGTAGGGGGCGCGTGACTCGTGTCATATGTAACACATCAAAGGAGACAGAGAGTGAGCTGGCACCCTCACTCAGCTGTCACTATCAGGCCTATCCAAGGCCTCAGCAGCCTCACAAATACCCCTGAGGGTCTGTGCCGTGAAGATCTCCATCCTCCAAGTAAGGACCCAGGAGAGGAAGCCGGCCCAGGGCCAGCACCTGGTGAAAGGCCTGATGGGAGCAGCTGAGAGGCCAAGGGTCATCTCTGTGCCTTACATTTCTGTTGAGGAACCAGATTCTACTCTGATCAGCCTCTAGTTTCATGGATCTCTTCAGGGATGTTCATAGGACTTCAGTAAAGTCAATCAGATCCAGGCCTAGGACTTTCAAGGAGAAGAGATCTGTTCTTTCTGTGCTGAGTATGAAGGTGAGATGGTGTGGAGCTCGGAGCTGCTGCAACCGTCTTACAAGCAGGAGGGGTTGTACAGTGGGGATAAGGGTCCCCGACAGCCATTCGTGAAAGGTTTGTGACAGTATTGGGAGGCGGTGAAACTTTTAGAAGGTGGGGCCCAGTGGAAGGAGGCTCGCTCCTGGGGGATGGGCCCGGAAGGGGCTGTTAGGGCCCCAGCCCCTCCTTTCCGTATTTGCTTCTTGGCCACCATCTCATCACCAGCCCAAAGGCAATGGAAACCAAGCAGTCATGGACTGAAATCTCTGAGACCCTGAACCAAAATAAACCTTTCCTCCCTAAAGGTTGATTATCTCAGGTGTTTTTGTTTGTTTGTTTGTTTTTGCAGTGATGGAAAGTTGGCTAATAAAAGGGCAAACCTTTGTGAGAATAGGAACTTACAAGTTGGGAAATGGAGCTGAATGAGCCACAGAAAGAGGCAGATGACAGTGTGACAATGAGCTCAGCCTCAAGCTGCAACAGAAGCCAGCATTAGCCCTGAGCTTTACTGATAGCAAGCCAGTAAATTCCTTCTCTGCCTTACTAGTTTGGGTTGGCTCTTCTGTTGCTCACTAAAAGCAATGTGTATCAGTGATCGATGGCCGCAATTCAGCTGTGTAACAAACCACCCCACAGCTCAGGGGCTTAAAGTAATTGAGTTCATAAGCCTAGAGCAACGTGCAGGCCAGACTGGACCTGGCAGTTCTGGTCACAGAAAGGCTACCACACACATCAGTCAGCTGGGAGGATGGGACAAGCTGGCCACACCTCAGAGCCACAAAGGTTCATGATATTGTTGGCATTTTGTCTCTAGAAGCTCTTGGTAGCTTAGAACAGATGCTTGAAAAGTGGTTTATGGTACTGCTGCAGGGTTAGGCTGCCAAGCTATGGAAGGACAGGGTTGCAAGGAATTAGGGGTGCCGGAGAGAACCCAGTTTTGTGCAGGTTGTTGCTTGGATTGGGTTTGTGTTAGCTTTCCTTGGTTAGACCCAGGCAATGCATTTTGGCAGCCGGTCTCTAAGGAGATGTGGGGCCCTTCTCAAGCCTCATCTCAGTGAGGTTGGAGTTCCTCTCTGCAGTGGTGTCTTTCCATGTTCTGCTTTGGATATGAAATGTCCCCAAGAGCTCATGTGTTGAGGGTTTGGTCCCCATGGCAACAGGACTCAGAGGCAGAACCAGTGGAAGGTGATTGAATCTTGAGGGCTCTGGACTAAGCCACCGATGGAGTGATAATTCAGTGGATTATTGGGAGGTGGTAAAGCCTAATTGGAGGTGTATGTCCCTGGGGGTGTGCCCTTGAAGGCTCTATTGGCACAAAATAAGCACTTAATATATAATGTCTGTAAATATTGAAGGTAATTATAATGATTCATGGTAGCACGATTTGCAAGTTGTAAACTTAGAAGGATAAACTTGAGTCGTTTATAGGAAAAAGGAGGACGCACCTCGAGACCATAATGTTAAGTGACACCAATCAGACACATGAGCTGGACCAAAGTATAAAGAGCAAACCTAAAGGTAGGTTATAGAAAAGAGGGTGACAGAGCCTTCTCAAATGGGAAGAGGACCAACAGACGGAGGGAGGTTAGAAGGGAGGGAGGGTAAGGGATGGAAAGTAAGTAATTTAGGGCCGGGAGTTTAGCTCAGTGGCACCATGCCTGCCTTGCAAGTACAAGGTCCTGAGTTCAACCCGCAGTACAAAAAAAAAAGTGATGCAAACCTGTGCTAAAGTAAAAAAAGAACCCATGGGAAGAGGACCAAGAGATTGAGGGGGGTGCTTAAAAAGAATTAAGATGTATGATGTATGTGTACCAACTCCCCATACTGAATGCGATCATTATGTGCTGTAAACATGAACTATATAAATACAACTGTTAGAGAGTTGTAAACTTGACCAAGCTTGAAGGATGAGTGCGTGCGTCACCATTGCCCTCTTCTGGCTAGGTGTGAGTGTCTAATCTCCAGTCCCTCCATCCTGTGGAACCCCCTGCTCCCTGTCCACCCCCAGCACCTGCAGCAGCTCCTTCCTGGGCTTTGGGAGTATGGCCAGCAGCCCACAGTCCCTCCCAGCCCTCAGATACAGTTAGGCCTAGGAAGCGCTTGGAGCTTGCCAACTGCTCAGGAGACATTAATCCCTGCTCGGGCCAACACTGCTGACACCCCAGAGCTTGTCCAGCCACACCCCACAGGGAACCCAGGCAGAGCTCAGGGTGCCTCTCCCCATCATCTCTGAGGTGCTCCTCAGGACATACCTGGTGGCCCTAGGAAAAATGCCAGCACCCATCCGGGCAAGAGGAGGCCTCCAGGAAGCCCCTCAGATTCTAGGCTGCAGGCACGGTCACAGCACAAGACCAAGGCCAGCTCTCTGGAAAAGAGATGGCTGCTCCTGGACAGGAAGCCACCTGTTCCTGCCCCTCCCTGTCCCAGAGCACCCACACACCAGCCACACACACATCCCTCAGACTTCACAGCTGCTTTTATTATTAATATTATCTTCTCCTTTAAGCATCCCTTTAAGGGTGAAATGAAATCCAACCATTTACAGAGAAAATGATTTCAGAATGTACATATTGATTTTCCTTTACAAAAAAAATAATACTATTATCATCGGTGTCCTTAAATTATACATTACCCAGGGCCCTGCCTTCTGCGTGGGCAAGTCCCATGTCCCCACACCGACTCTCACCTCTGTCCCCACAGCTCTTCTGTGACCACCCCTGGAGCTGATGTGACCATGTTTGGATAAGGCCGGCTGGATGCATGGCACAGACAGACCTCCCCGGGGCAAGAGGTTCCCAGGAAAGACATCTGGATGTGGTGACAGGGCGGCAGTGTTCACATTGTTTGGTTTTCCTTCCTGGGGGGGAGTGGCCCTGACACCCCACCCCCACTTCCCAGTGTATGCTGCGGTGATGTGGGAAACTCTCCCCCGACACAATGTGCACCTCCCTCCCCGCTGGGTCTAAACCCTGGCAGGCCTGAGACTCCGCTTTTCCTTCCCTGCTTCAGGCCTGTCCACCGCAGCTGCTCCAGGTCAGTTCCCACCACTCCCGTGCCAGACACGTCCTCCAGCTCTCCTGACCCATGAGGAATCTCCCCAGTGAGACACTCAGAAGAAGCCCTGCTGGAGCTGGGGTGGGAGTGGAGCTGGGGTCCAAAGGGGCTGAGAGGGTAGAGGACTCTCAGGGACACGGCCTCAGGCTGGGCGGATTCTCATTCCTCAGACTGAAAGACAGACACACAGACCCTGCATCCCTTTCGTCTTGCTTTCTAGGCTCTCCAATGGCTTCCTGCCTCCGTCACCTCGGGGAGCCACAGGAAGCTCAGCCACAGGCTCCGAGACCTGGGAGAGAATGCTTGGGCTGGTGCTCCCACTCCCACACGCAGGCATCTATGTAAAGGGACACATCAATACAGACATGTACAAATACACACCAAGCATGCACCCATGCCCATAAATATACACGCACTCACAGAAATGGACATTCCACAGGCAGCCTCCGCACACTGGCCTAACAGGGAATATCTGAGGGGACCTAGGGAGGGGCGTTCTCTCCTTTTCACACACCTGTCGCTGCCACAGCACCTGGCGTGGGCAGGGAGAGGAGCAAGAGCAGGCTCATACGACTATAGCAGTCACTTCTACCCCTCCCCCAGAAGTCTGCTTATTTCCCTCATCCACCCTCCTCTTAACTGACAGATCTCCCAAGTTGAGGTCTGGCACAAGGCAGTTTCCCAGTTTCCCTTGCAGCTATATTTATGTGACCATGTTACTAAGTTCTGGCCAACAAGAAGCCATCAGAAGTAATAGTGCCATTTCTGGCTCATGGCCATAACAAGAAAGGGTGTGCACTTTCCTGCCTTTCTCTGGTTTGGGATGTATAAGTGATAGTGGGAGCTGGAGCAGCCACTCTGTATCCAGAATTGGAAGGAGTGAATGAAGGAAAGTAGAGCTGCCCTTCTAGTTCTGTACCACTTCCCTCTAGACAATTTAATTAGAACAAGCTTCTGTCTTACACAAACCCTGTATTTCACAGTCTCTTACTTACAGCAGCTTAGAATCTACTCCAACAAATTACATTCCTCACCTCCCACAAGGCAAACTAAGAGGAACGGGTTGACATATAACCGGTCTTAATGTCCCTTCTTGGGCCCAGGAAAGCTTCCTTCCTGGCCCCTAGCCAGCCCCAAGGAGCAGCCTAAGCGATTCCTCCTGGGGTAATGGTGAGCCTGGAGCAGTGGGTGCTGGCCAGAGGGCGCGACAGGGAGGGAGAGGCAGAATGATGAAGGGTCTCAAGCCCGTCATTGCTTCCCCATGCCCCAGGCCACACCTGCCACACTGGCTGACCATACAGTCTCCAGCGCCCACCCTGCCCTGAGAACTGACCCCTGCAAGCAGCTGGGCAGGCAGCCCACACAACAGCAATGTAAAGTAAGATGGAATTGTCAAGGCTAGGTTTGAAATGGGAAGGAGGAATCCCAGGGTTGCCCCATGCCTTTGTCAGCTTACAGGGACAGAAGCCTGACAGTCTCGGGCACCGCCCTCCCAGCTGGGTAACATCCTGTGAGGCAGTGGACCAGGCCTCTCCTCCTTCCCCTCTGAGCCAGCACCACTGAGGACACCACGCAGTGCCCATCAGCACCCCTTCCCTGCCAGCTGACCCCCTTGCTCCCTCCCCAAATGCATCTATTTGCAGACCGGGACCAGCTGGCATGCCCCCTGCCCCAGTGCAGGTCCAAAGCCCCAAGATGCCAAAATAGGCTTCCCTCCACCAGGTGCAGCCCCACAGGGCTCTCACAGGCTCCCTTTCCTCCCCCCTCACCCCTCCCGGCTCCCAGGACCCGTCATGCCTCTCCAGGGACCCTCCTGGCCACAGCACTCTGGGTAGCAAAAGGGCTGCATAGATGTCTGGGTTTGCTCCCTTCTCCTGGCAGCAAGGGAGGTGTTTGTTTTGTTTTGCTAAAAAACCTAACCCTTGATTCCAAAGGGCTGGAGTAGGGAAGAGCCCACCAGAGCTCACCCACCCAGGCCTGGTCTCTCAAGATCCCCAAGTCGGCGGGAAGAGGCTGAAAGTAATGCCAGGGGTAGCCACCATCCCACCGGGCCAGAGGCCCTAGAGATCCCACAGCCTCAGCCTTCCACCGTGTCCAGTTTGTCCCTGGCTGCAGACGGCCGGCCCTCAGGGCCCTTGTTCCTTCGCCCGCCGGCCACAGTGCTCTTGGGCTCCTGGTAGGGGTTGTCCAGCAGGTAGCGGAACTGGTCGTAGTTCTTGAGCAGGTACTTGGGGGCGTACATGTGCTCACTGGGGTCCGCAGGTGGGTACTCCTGCTGCGTGCCATCAAACCAGCCGCCGGTGCGGATCAAGCTCCGGATGTAATTGAGGTCCCGCTTGTCCTCGTAGTCACCCCAGCGGGGAAAGTCGCCGTTCTGGGCGGACACCAGCTTGAAGTAGATGCCCTCGGGCGTGAAGCACCAGGAGCAGTGCCAGCCGGCGAAGTGCAGGGGGCTGCCCAGCGACCACTGCACCAGGATGTGGCCCGTGCGGTTTTCGTACTGGCGGAAGTTGGGCATGGTGTAGTACTGGCGACGGCGCAGGCGGATGCCATCCAGCCCGTACACGGCCTGCAGCATGTCCACCGTGCAGCCCGACACCACCTCCAGGGTGCCCGGCTGCTTCCAGAAGAAGCCGTAGAGCGACTTGCGCATGTGGAAGGCAAAGGGCTCGGTCCAGCCGTCGTAGAGCTTGAGGAAGAGCACGCCATCGCGCGCGGGGATCTCGTCGGCGTCATCGATGATGAAGACGTCGTCGGGCCGCAGGTTGCGCAGCCGGGAGACGCCGTCCTGGGTCAGGAAGGTGCGCAGGTAGTCGTCCGCGATCCAGCCGTCCTGCCGGCCGCCGGGTGGGAAGTGGTCCAGGAAGACGTAGAGCACCTTGTGGCGGATGTACTCGAAGGTGCCGTTGGTGAGCATCTCGCGGAACTTGAGCGGCCGCGGCTCCCCGTAGGCCGTGAAGTTGGACTCGCACACCACGAAGGCGTCCACCACGTCGCCCAGCTCGTGGAAGCGCACGTCGAGCAGGTCGAACTCGTGGTTGATGTTGATGGCGTTGATGACCCGCCGCGGCACCTCCCTGGGCACCAGGCGCTCCTTGGTGGGCAGGTTGGAGTACTGCACCACAGTGGGCACCCCGCAGCTGGGCCCGTGCCAGCCCGGCAGGCACACGCACTCCACCCATTTGCGCCG